GCTATTAGTGGGAGTAAAAAATAAACTGTTTTCTTTATGCCTTGAAGAAAGCGCGACATGAAATTTTCTTGGAGGAAAATTGGAATTTTTACAAAGCGTTTCAGCGGAGGTAATGGCTCGCCGAACGAGTATATCTAAAACTGATGGCATGGTTATGCTCATGGATTGCTCGGAAATTATTTGTTTTCCATATCCTACGATTTTCTTGAGTCGATCTGAACCTCCGTTTGTTCATAATCATGCTAAAACAAAGAAAAAATAATGTTTCAAGTCGAACACGTTTGAAATCTGAAAAGATTTCCATGTGGCCTAAACGATATATGCTTCGTTTAGATGTTTCTAGAGTTTTCTCATTATCAGCCCGTTGCAATTCAGCAACTCTCCTTTGCATTCCGTTTTCTTTGTATAAATTGTGAATATCGATGTCGGCGTTTTATGCGCTCTTCCTCGATTTACCTCGCAATCTGCTAAATCCGCACTTTTACGGATTTCGAAAAACCTCATTTTACTCGGTAGGAATTTTCAACTAGAATAATTGAAGAAAACGAATCTCTATTTCTCATGCCTAATCCCCTTGAGGTGACATTAAAATTGGCGTCTGAGAGGTCTCGTTTATGAAACTTTTCTCCAAACTGGATGTACCGAATCGTTTGAAACTCTGCCATGTAAACGTGGAGAGGGTCCCTAAGATAGGTCCTGACATTCATGAAATTTCAATCTTTCAAATCTGTTGATTAACCATTTTTGAACTTGTTATAAAAATTAAAATCTCACGATTGTCGGGACCTTCCTTAGAACCTAATTCACGTGGCAAAGTTTCGGGCGATTCGGCGCACCCAGTTCGGAGAAAAGTATCATGAACGATTGACCCCTTTCATATCACCTTAACCGTTTGAGTCTCATGCGCCGCTTTCACGCTCTTCAGATTTCATGTCGAAAAAACCCCAGTACATTTGAACGATACCGACAACTGACCGCGCACTCACAATCTGATGAAATGCGCTCAACTTTCCAGACGCATTTTCAGTCGAATCTTTCGACACACAATAAAAGGAGCGCCATCGCGCCGCTTGGATCTTTTCGCATCCCATTCAGAAGGCGCTATTGCGCTGTTGGGCTTTTTTCGACCGTGTTTTTTTAAAAACCTCTGGTACTCAAACGGTTAAGGTGAAGTGAAACACGCCGAGGAACTTGATCGAAGTCGATAAAGAAGATTTTTCTAAATGCTTACGTTGCTGACGTTTGTTTTTATATTGACAGCTGGGTCGAATTATATTGGATATTGTACCAAATGGCATACTTCATCTGTCGTTTTCGTACAATAAATATCAAAAAATCAAAGTAAAACTACAGAAATCCTCTGGATTCATGCTTTCTGGGACCCTAATTGACTGCAGAGGGACCCCCTGCGCCATCTGTGATTTCCAGGTCAATTAAATTTTCACTCCGAGACCTCGTATTCCGATCGTTTTAGCATAGAAGCGCATACAACGCTTTTTTTGCCTTTATCCCGTTCAAATGCGAGTTTATCGATTACCAGAGTGTTCTACTTTGTCGTAAAATTGTCCTGGCCCTTTCGTTTCTCATATCAGAGCCTTCGATAATTGTATAATGATCGAAATATGATAGCTCGGCGCCATTTTGGTTCTGATCTGGGCTGTTACAAAATTTTGTCCAAAAATCCAAATTTTGAATGTGTAAGAGCAATTCTTAGACGATCAGGAGTGATGCGTCAAAGTTTCAGACAGTTTGGTCTAATACCCTTAAAAAAAAGTGTTGTATTCGAATCAACTGATTTGAAGGGGGTTTCACTTCACCTTGAAGAATGTTCATTATAGCAGTGTTTCCCCTCTGGGGGGCTGTGGGGTATCGAATGGATATCGAAGGATTTCTCGCGCCTTTCGGTCCGAGAAAATCTCGTAGTCCGGGCGTGTTCTCCGTGCTACCGTGAATGCACGTTTCGGGGAATCCCGAGCGGTCTTCGAGGATGCATCGAAGGCCCGCCTCGACTCGGCGATGCGGTCGCCAACGAAATCCGAGGAGTTCGCCGTTTGCCACGATCCGTTTCGCTGACCTCAGGACACCCGTCAGACGTCACTCATGCGAAATGATCGCGAAGCGAGCTCTGGCCGCGCTCATAAATATTTATACACCACCGCGGGATTAGTATGCGCGTCTGCCTTTCTGGGCCAACTTCTCTCATCGGCTGGACCGTTCCGCGGCGTCTGCCCTCGACGCTGATCGGCGTACATTCTTCTCTACTTTGGATATACCCGGAGCAGCTCGCACCTGCGATCATAATTTCACATGTATATTAAATGCTTCGCATAGAAACCGGAACGTCACCGTTAACCGTCCTTGCGCAACGCCTTTCGGTTACTTAGGAGAGCGAAGTACGTTCCTTTCGACTCCTCAACCGCCGCACTCCACACTTGCAGTATAGAGATGTCGTGCCTGTTTATGGCATAATTTTACGTCAACGTTACCCTAGTAGCACAAAATATTTGTCCTATATTTTCTATACATTTAATGAATATCGTACATTTTGTAAATATTCAGCAGACGTTTGTAATATTTGCAAAACGTTTACGTTAGAATGTTATCTTCGTAATATTTGTATAATATTAGCTCCATGTGTTTCCATAATATTTTTCTAACAGAAACACAAGACATTTCGTTTCATTTTAATATAAGTATTTTTTTTAAATATTCTCAGCCGAGTACATTATAAACGTTTTAAAAAGATTTAAAATCAAAATCACACGATCTGCTCCCATTTTGAAATGGCGGAACGAATATATTACACAAATTATTCGTGCTTTCAAGATACCAAATGAAGTGTCCGATTATAATCGTGAAGTAGAAAATGTATTTTTATTATATGTTTATAAATTATGGAAACTAAATGTCATTGAGATTTTCAACAAATATTTCAGATACCTTCGAATGAAACCTACGAGGAATCTTAAAAGAACTGTTGCTCGAGATATTTAGTAAAGATTACGAAGAAATGTTTAGAAATTATTCTATGCTACTAGGGTAGATACCTCGAGGGAAAACCGAAATGATTGCGCGAAACTAATCATCGTGGATATTGATTTTAGCTCTCGAACAGTTATAATAGACTGTAACGAGCTGCCGGTTCCGAGATCGTTGCGCACTTGAGATCATAATTTGAGAGGAGGGTTAAGTATCTCACGTGGAAAACGGAATGTTGCGCAGTGTCGATTATTTTAGATACTTGATGGGAATCGATGCGGACTCTTCGTAGCTCTTGATGTCCTGGATCACCCGCACCTGTGATCATATTTTCATGCACATCTTAACTCGTAGATAAATTGGGACATCGCCGTAACTGCGATTGCATAATATCGAGAGTATTTCAGTTCAGGGATTAATTGTTTCACGGTTATCGAAGTAGATGATTCTTGATTCTTGGTTCTTGAAACTGCGAATATCTGCAATGACATTTTCCACATAATTATTGAAATCATTTTTCTCCTACAAACGCATACAATTAATATAACGAAGTGATGCCAAATAAGATTTCGTACTTTCGCACGTTTTGATTACGTATATTTAGGTTATTGCAAAGCCAATGACATAACTATCTGTGAATAAAGGGCCATTAATAAGTTCTATTGCGTTAATAATTGCAGCTTCATTTATAATTAATGTTACCTTGTGGCGACCACGCACGCGAGTAAATATCCGAATTGCAAATAGAATCGCTTTATAATTAGGTCCGTTATAATTTAATCGATGTGTCAACAAACCTCGTGCTCGGGTCGGGCGTGTTTCAATCAACGTCCATTAATTTGCATCGACTCTTCGATGATCGTAGCAGACCCATGCCGTTCTCATATGCATTCAATACCCGATGGATGTTAAATATATTCATTCCGTCCTCCGGCAGAAACTGAAACGTTAAAAAACTGTCATTGAAACGGTCAAACCTTGGTAAGACGCTAAATCGGCAAATATGAACCTGCATTTCGCATTCGTGGGACATTAATCCTGCCGCCTGCGAATATTTTAGGAAATAGGTCGAAACGAGAAGGGTAGGAACTTACATCACGCATCAGGGGTGGAAACAGAAGAATGGAACTGTGAAAAGAAACGAATGAAATAGATGTTAGATGGACGAAAAGAGCAGAAGATTGGGTAAACAGAGGCGAAACATTGAAGGGCTTACACAATGAAATTCGAAAAAATGGAATTTTCGTTTGTAAGATTAATTAATAGTTTTTAGTTCTAATAACGATATCCCGTTGGTTGCAATAGTAGACCCTCGTTGTTTAATTGGAAGTAGTTTAGATATACATTTCAATTTTTCCTACAATTTCCTTCCAAAGTTTGAATACTTCCGTACGAATTGTCAAGTAGAAATGGTGTTCCGCGAAATGTAATACAAATTTTTCCGCTTTTCATTAAGAGTGTTGCTATTTCTGCTTTAAATATACATTTGTATTCAAACGTATTCCAAATATAGGATGCCTTTACCCAATCGCTCTTTTAAGGCTGGGATCGTTCGACGTTCAGTGTACATTTGTCCCGTTTACGTTTCGAGTGCCTCTGGTCCTGGTTTTGGTAGACATTTTTATCTGAAAGTGTTCGAAATATCGAGGCCCTTTTAACGATGTACATCGCGCGTCCATTGGATATCGATTCGGCCTTGCGGGAAAGTACAGATTAGTTTCGGTTATTTCCCGCCATGCGGCGCTCGCCTCGACCTGGACCGATCCGGGGCATAAAATGTAATCCGCGTTGCGATACCGCCAGCCCGGATTCTGGAGCGCTCCGGGGCGCATTCTCGGCCGATGAGGAAGCGAGGTTCACCGATTTACTCCCCAGAATCTCGGTTGCCAAGTTTCGCGAGCGAGAGCCTCGCGTCCCCGCGGGCCGTCTCGCGCGAGGCCGCAGCGGGCGGCGTTTCATCCCCGAAAAGCGGCCGTAAAAATACTCGGTGACTAATCGGGGGCCTTGAACTTCTGTCTCAGCCTCTACGCAGGTGGTTTTGACGGTGCAGCAGAAGCCAGTGGCAGCGGGGCTGCAGGTTGGCCTCACGGGGCAGCAACACCAACGACCGGCGAGCCTGTCAGGTGGCGCCACCATGGTTACGCCCCCGCAACCCACGACTTCGCTTCACCGAGCGTTCACCGCGCCCGCCGGTGGCGCCACCTGCAACGCTCGCATCACCGCTCCTCAACCGGTTGACGTAAGTTGCGTTTTCAAATTCTCGAGAATTTAACTCCGAGAGACATGACCGAGAATGTTACGACGAGTTAAAAATCCCTAGAGAATTTAAAAGAACTTTGAGAATTTGTGGTTTTTTTTCTCTTCTTTGTTTTAGAGATGCGGCGTCAACTGCTTTCTCTATTGGTCCTCGGTATTTAAATTAACTGCTCTTTTAATTGGTTGCTTATATTTAACCCTAGACCTCGTGGATCATTTATTTCCACCCTCGGACCGATGCCTGGGGTAGATATCCACCCCTCTTGTTTCTCGTTGACAAAATGTTTCCTATCGGCAGTAAAGGGACAGGTGAATCTCTAGTTTTTTTAATAAGGGGGTAGACAGTCGGGAGGAAATTCAATTTCATTGAAGTTCATTATATTTACTTTTTGGCTTCCGGGATGGAGCCGCGTGAAGTGCCGCTTGACAGCCGACGTTTTGCAAACATTTCAGTTCGTATCGTCAAGGCTTGGAGGCACTGATGCGATTATAAATAAAACAGTATTTACTGAGTCATTTTGGAATTCTGGATTTAATTTCTTTTTCTTTACGGGCACAGATGATCGCGTGGGCACCAGATCAAAATGACTCTAAAATCAGAGAAAGATTATTTTTCATTTGTTTAAGATGAGCTTATATTATCGTATCCCACTTTAACAGAGTAAATTGCATAGTAACTTTAGTAGTATTATATAAATAGTTTACAATATTGCGAATTGATATATGTTAAATCAACTGGCCAGAGATTAACTTGTGGTTGTGATGAACTACGTCAATCGGTTATTGACGTAATTGGCGGCTGACTTGACGGAATGCAAGCAAATAATCTTAATTTTAGATTTATCGCCCATTTCGTTTTAGATCTGACATCCGTTTCGAATTTACGAGCACCGCGAAATGAGATGCATTCCTATTCCGATTGTTTATAATTAAATTTTTCCTAACGTTAACGTCGTCAACCTATTATTCGCGTTCCTTCCGCGCATCCTAAATGTTATTTTTTCTGTTATTGTTTCTGTTACTTATCGTTATATATTATTGTTTCTGTTACTTATCTCGTACTATAGCAAATAGAACAGTTTTAACAGACGAGGCACAAAGAATTCAAATTCTCAGTTAAGGCTCGGTATAATGGGACAAAGGAGTGTATACTGCATTCAATGGATGGAGCAAAAATACGGTAGAACGTTTACGACTCGGAAAACGGAATAAGTAGAGCGTGCCTTATTGAGTCGGACACGTGTTGGGAAGAGTAAAGTGAAATTTCTGAAGTCTGGGATTTCTTATCGATATGAACGATATCTTACAGAATTGCATTTCGCTTCTTGATAAACGTATAGATCAAATCATAGGTACCTCGCTACACTTAAAGCAATTATTGCGACGACGCGGAATATCGATTAAATTGGACAAGTTTTCGAGTACCGAGCTCTACCCTCTAAAAAGAACGGCATCCATAAATTGTCCCAAAAGATGTTTCTATATTTTATCTTGAAACCAATTAAGTAATTGGAACAAAGGACATTATTAAATTCACTAAATTTCCGTAGCAACTTGGTTGTCCATTATTGAAAGCTAAATGCACGGCCGAGGTTAAGATATACCCAATTCCATATAGGCATAGCTCGCTCTATTAAGCGTAGCACGTTTTCCTATAAGTCGGTGTCCTACATCGCGCTAAACATTGAACGCTACTATACGACGCAATACGTGTACTTCGAAAAAAAAAAAAAAAAAAATGAACACCGTTGAACCCGTAAGCGTCTACAACTGTAACGTCTGTTGCAGCACGAGAAGAAACGTCAGCTGAAGACTCAGCGAGTCCACACGTTTCAACTAATGCTGGAAAAGGAGCAGAGTTACGTCGACACCCTGCGCAGCGAATTAGCGAAAGCCGTGGCTGGGAACGCGAACAACGCCTCGACGTTGCAGGCGGAATTAGCCGGCGCCGAAAGACGAGTACGGACATTGCAGGACAAGCTAGCAGCTATTACGACCACCGACCAGGTGTGTTTTACTCCAAGGAACGGACTTTGCGGACCGTCGCATACCACTGGGAACGGTCCCTGACTCTGTACAATGTAAATAATGTTAAATCCCCACCCTGGAGGTACCTAACGACGGTGCTTAGCTTTGCCGCTTAACTGTGTTTACGTCATATTGTGCCAAGCACATTTGCGGAGCCTGCGCGTGCATTTATCAGCGCTCATTTACAATTCGAGATGTATAATGTACACGGAGATGCGCTCTGGATTTCCTTAAGGCGATATGAAAGGTCTCGTTTATGAAACTTTTCTTCAAATTACATGTACCGAATCGTTTGAAATGCTATCACGCGAATATGGAGACCATTAGAAAGGTCCTGACACTCGTGAAATTTTATTTTAAAAATTTGTTTCTTAAACATATATATATTTTCATAAAAATTGGAATTTCGTGGGTGTCCGAACCTTCCTTGGGGCCTCCGTAGTTATGTGGTAAAATTGTAAGCGATTCGGTATACCCGGTTAGAAGAAAAATTTCATAAACAATCAAACCCCTTGAATGACACTTTCATGCCGCCTTAATGTCGCCTCAGTCGTGTGGGCTTCGTTGTCATCAACAGCGATTTCGATTTGACCCAATCGATGGCAAGTGATCGGTTATTTCGAGACGATCTCGGGAAAAATTATTTTATAAAGGATCGTTTCGTCTCCTCCAGTGAGGGAGAGAAGTATTCGCGAAAGCGCGTTATGCTTCAAATGTAGGTACAGAGTAAAAGTTCCTTTTATAATGGTGGGTATACGGTCCGTATAAGATCACGGCAAACGGTTCTCACTCGAAGATATGAATATCAGTGTAAGTACAGGGCGACCAATACAATAATATCGGTCCTTTTGTGATTCAATTAACTCTGGTGACTGCAACAACACGTGCGACCACCCCCTTTAGCTAACCGTTAGAAAGATATAGTGACATTACCATAGAATAGATATAATTAGGGTAACACCGGCAAGATTACTATCGACTGAGTATGCATTTCGTTTAAATGTCAGATACGTCCTGCTGCATCATGAACCCTTTTACCGGTTTCCTAATTATTGAGAGTAGCTATTATCGAGTGTGATAGACATGTGTGCCAGTTAATCCATTCGCACAGAACAATGAACTATACTCGTGGTGCATGACTGAAGCCAAAATGCGAATCTACGTGTCGGACGCGTATGTACTTAGAAAATTTAAAAAAAACCAAATACTTTACTGTAACGTTACGTTAACGCGTTAAAAAATATTTTGTATCGTTAAATATCTTTCATAATGTATAACATATTTAGACACATACTGAAGAACGAGTCTGGACAAGTGTTTGAAAAGCAAACGAGCTAATGCGTTCACTCCTAAGTCGTAGGATGTCACCGCGGCTCTTAGATCACCAAGTAACAATGTTACTATCCACCCGGGGAATTATCATTATCTGTTAGACGTAAAACGCTGTTACGTGACGTAGAGTCCACGACGTCAATCGGTAACAGGTAGAATAACTCGTTACCTCAGTTTTCAGTCTCGACGGAACTGTTTTTCAGTATACTTCTCGTTCCGTTGTCGTTTTCACCGCCAGTAATTAGGAACGCTGAAAAGTGAACAGGTGCAAAAAAATTCGGACATAAACCGCTGCTTTATCGGTAAACGATACAAAACTTCATAGAGAAAGAAGACATTTAAAATCATCAAGTGCCCCCATCGATTCTTACATTTGTATTTCATGTTCATTACCTGTTCAAACCTTTTGTGTACATTTATCGAACTTGCCCTTAACCCTTCGACTGCGAAGAGGGCACCGAAAAACACTCCTGTGGGACGATAATCGCTTAAATTCTACATCGTTTCTTCCCACTGCGCCGTAAGATTCTTACGTGAAAATTTGTTGATTCGTTGAAAAAAAAAAAAATTTAACTGCACTTGGTTAATTATAAAAAAATGTATCTCCTGAGTGAATCGAATTTTCATTCACATGGCCAGACTCGCTCGCTTCGATCGACTAAAGGATTATTCATTAATTTTCGAGAACGTCTCAGTCGAAACAAATGTTTTTATTAAATGCACCAAATTACCTTAATCATTGATGCGATCTGCCACAATATTTGAAACAATCGACCATAAGTTATTAACCAACAAATTTTGTAATTTCGGCCAAGTCGTTGGTTGCCCATATATCTGATAATACCTATACTCTTTGGCTGAACCAACAAAGATTTCATTGACTAGACCAAATATTTGTCTGTGAGCGCAGTTTTATTTTCTGAGCGTTTCGCAGTCAAAGCGTTAATATTAATCCATATCAATCGCACGAATCGATGAATGGAAAGAGGTGCATACTCGGTCGGTAAATCGGGCCAAACAGCGAGGGTTCTTGTGTTTAGCTGACCTGTGTTTAGAGAGGCTTTGGCTAACCTTCGCTAACCTGCTTTTGTTATGTCTCTCTTACAGCTTTGCTCGTTGGTAACAAACACCTCGACCTCACCCAGCCACGGTTCCCCGACGAGTGGCAGCGGTGGCGACGTGCCGCCACCTCTGCCTTCTCGCAAGTCCCTGTCCATGCAAAGCCTCTCTCCGCCCCCCTTGCCCCCTCGGCCCCCGCCCGCCCCAAACACGCACAACATTATCCAGTCGGAGTTGGAGCGACATCTGCTGACTTATTTAACGCCCCCCACCGCCAGTCACGGCATACCTAACTCTGTAAGTAGTCTAATCTCCTAATCACTTTTATACTAGTAGGATACAGTTACTTAACGGAGTGTACAAACTTCCTGTTTTGTCTTAACGGACCCCATTTTCGGCCTGCGGATGTTACGTCCTCGCCGGGTCTGTGCGAGCGGGCGAATCATTTGCTTATTTCGGTTAATTATTCATCATTATTAGTGTATTTATTATGAAGAGGGAGGACGGGATGGCGGGGCAGACCCCCGGTTTCATTTTTCAATATAGGATACTAATGCGGCAGTAACGAATGAAACTTTAAAATGTCTCAAGGGTACCTGTTAATAGTTGGTACAAATGTTGACGCCGGAAATATCGCCCCTTTGATGGGTATTATTTGTAGATGATGCGACCGCATTCAATTTTTCTGATGGCTATAACACTCGAAGGGCCCAACGAGAGCGAATTTATTCCGAATTTGGATCACAATATAATCAGAAAATCAAAGTAACGAACGCCTATTTATTCCGAGTAGTATTTGAATGTTCTGATAAGAAGTAGAGATTTCATTTCGTTTCACTTAATTTGCATGCTCGCACAAAACCTACTTTGACGGAGCACATAGAATACTTAACATAGTGTTTAACTCTCATTCGATGTACAGTCTGTACGAATTGACGGTTTTGTATTTAATGAAATTAAATATTTGCAGTACATAATAGGTCAGTGATTATAGTGGTCAACTGATATAACATTACCTGTACATATAGAAGCTTATCGAATTGATAATTTACGCTCTGTGGTCAAGCTAAGGAGTTAGCAATTGCTATTTGAAGAAATGTGGTCACTTACTCATCTACGGTATACATAATGGTTGTCGACAACTATAATCCATGTCGATTTTTTTGTAAATGTACATGTAATGGGCATAAGATACGTAACAGAATTACTTGTGGCAACATAAACAACAGTACAATATTTGTCAAACTTGTTCTTAATTCCATATTTGACATGTACTTTTATTTCTTCATAATATGTATTGGATATCGGTACTATTGGGCAAATCAAAACTATAAAGAAGAATAAATTGTACACCACACGGCTGTTTTATATTAGTTCAGGGTTAATTTCGAAATTATTGAACCAGGGCAAAGTTCTAACTTTAATGTTTATGTAATCGTACAAATATTGCATGAGAAATTACTTACTGTAAATAATACAAGGAATATAAGACGTTAATCCATAATCGGTCGATATTACATTAAGTTTTATCGATTGAATAAATTAAATTTTATACTCAGTCTCTAACAGTTTTCGCAGGGTGCAAACCTAGGTTCCTCGGGCTCTCTGAATAAACATCAACGAACAAAGTCGAGTCCTGAGCAACTGGGCACAACATTGATTTCTCCTTCAGAAGCTAGTAAAAGATTGATAGCTGCTGAATCGATGAATGATCTTTCACCCCCGAAACTTGGCCGGCATAACAGCATCGATTTGGATGATCCACCCCACATCACGCCACCGGGAACACCGCCTCCACCATATCCTATACCTAACCCAGGATTGGACACATCTTCTTCAACGTTAAACGACGTAAGAATTTCAACAATTTTACAGTTAACCGAAAAAGTAAGAAATGCTAAAAATGTAATGTATTGAAAAGGTACATATTTATTCTGTTTGTTTCGTTGTGTTTTCCTCAATATCGTTAAGTGTAAAAAGTTTCGGTTACAGCCGCTAAGTAAGCCGGTCAATATCGTTCATATTAATATGTAATATACTGTGTTATTTACAGTCCATGCTTGACGGCTTTTTACCGGTTTCACCACTTCGACAAGTAATGCCTCCTGATGTGTCTGGATTGCCACCTCTTCAACAACCAATCATGTCTATGGAAGACGACGACATGAGTGATCAAGAAGTGGTAAGTTTCGACCCATTTTAATCCATACAACTTCTTTAGTCATAAATAATAAGTAACGTTCTTTAACAGGGTCAGTTGGAAGATCACGGACCTTTCAAATCACTGTCTAAGCTATGGGAACACCATGCACATCTTGCTGTATTTATTAATTATGTTTTGTCAAACAGTGACCCCTCCAGTCTGGTAAGTGAACATTTACTGCTTTTTTATTACTCAAAACGTCGGTTACTTCTTTATTCTGTTCTATTTGTATTTTTAAATGAAAATTCTAATTTTACAGTTGTTTTACTTGGTAACGGACTTATACAGAGAAGGGAACGCCAAAGAAATGCGGAAGTGGGCATACGAAATACACTCCAGTTTTTTAGTACCTGGTGCTGTAAGTATCGTCGCCAATACAGTCAATAATATGTTTTAATCTGTATATTAGATTGTTAATATATTCAAATATTTTTAGCCTCTGCGTTTGAGCAACGTAGACGAAAACGTCGCACGAGAGATAGACGAGGTTCTATTAAAGGAATCCGATAAGGAGGAGATATTGCGAAAGGTACTTTTTACTTCAATTTCGTGAATTAATGTATGTTCCAAATATAGTTTGTGTTAATCGGAATAATATTTTTAATAGATATTCTGGAAAGCAAGAACACGTGCAAAGGAGGAACTGAACGAGCAGCTCGCGGATTTCCAACAAAAAAGAACTGCGGGATTAGGTACCTTATTTGGTCCGAGCGACGCCCAGTTGGACGAAAGTGCCTCCGACAAGGCAAGAGAAACACGGATCATCGAAACGTACCTACTCCCCAAAATGGAACCATACCTGTAAATATTTACGGCCTTGTTTCTTGTTCGTCCACTTAAAGTATCGACTGTTAAATGTATTACATCACGTTTTAATGATTGCAGAGAGGATATAGAAAAGGAGCAAGTAGATTTTCGACAATTCACAACGGCAGCTGGTCTGGCGACTATTCTAACGAAGATTTTTCAAGTGCGACCAGTGTCCCTTGAGCGTGTACCTACCTTCGTTGCAAAAGACAAATCAAATATTAAGGCGAGACTGCTCACGGTGAAAACTAGGAAGATGATAGTGAGGGGTCATCATTTTACGGCTCACCAGTATTTTACTGTGACTTACTGCAATCACTGTCAACTTATTATCGGTGGAATTGGTCCTCAGGGATATCAATGTACCGGTACGTAAATAATAAACTGAAAACTTTATAATAATTATTATTTAAATATAAGTTTAATCGCTGTGAATTTCAAAACATTGACAAAGGTACTTAATTTACTTTGCAGACTGCTCTTTAAATGTTCACCGTCAGTGTGTACGCGTAGTTGAAGAAAATTGTCCGGGACCAGTAGTCCGAAAGGAGAAAGCAAATGACCGCATCAGTAAATTAATGGAACGAATCCGCTTAGAAAGGAAGCCTCCATCGTCTCACCATCATCATCATTCTCAAAATCAAATGCATCTTGGTAAGCTCTTATTATATTAGAACCATTCAAAGATGGGTTTGAAATCAGAAACACCTAGTAAACGAATTCCTTCGACTTGGTTTTATCAGAACAGGTGTTTTCACTCAGTTGTTACATAGAAGTATCATTTTTCGCATCATAATAGAAAGTAGTTACGTTACCGTAAATAAGCTAAATTAATGAAATAACGATAATTGGCTCATAAAATATTTTTTACTTAATAAGTTAATATCTCAGCTAGTATTTGTGGGAAGTATGCCATAACTAATTTATTGTGATTTTATGTATATAAAAATGTATTGTTGTTTCAATAGAACGCCTGAAACGATCAGAAGAGGATTCTGGCGCGTTGACCGATGGAGAGAATGGTAAGTTTTTGTTTCTTTACATTAACTCCTCAAGAGATATGCAGCTATTGTATTCGCCGAAATGTTATCCCATGAAAGATACCGATGACGCGCACGAAAGCCAAAACTTATATAGCTTTTTACTGCTTACTCAAAATTTAGCAACATCTTTATATATACTGGACGTGTTTACATACACATATGGTCTAACCGTCTCTCGAGTGATTTTTGGTTCCAAGCCAAATTCTGCATCATCGTTGAAAGAATCCAGTTACACGTTGGCGCTCACATTATTACATTAGCACGATATAGGTAAACCCTTGTCAAAATGACGATTTACATTAACTTGTGATATCTTCCATTTAACACGTATAGTCTTTCAAAATTTAGTAGTCCTTGAAATGGTATTAACGGATATACATAAATGCCTTTAACCATAAGGAAAAATTACGTACCGCATTACACTTAAGACTAAAATCATAAACGCTTAACTACATTTATCATGGTTTTTAAGGAGCTTTGAGATGAAAATAGTAAAAATCTGCCTAGTGACTGAATAGTATGTAAGACTCTAGAGTTACTCAACAATGACATTAATCTCAATTCTTGTTCAGTTTTCATTTTTTTTTTCTCGAAAACAATGAACTTTATTATTAATACCGCGATCATTCGAACAGGAATTCGTGCCACAGGAAGGAACATACAGTAACTTCTCTGTCTACCTTGATGCGTGAGCCATAAATTCCAATAACTCAAGGACTTGTTGATATAATCATATAGTATGTACAGTACATCTTGTATATTTTGCTGCAGTTTTAAATGTTTACGTCATTAATGCATACGTACGGACATTAAAGATCCACAGCGTATAAATCAAACGCCGTAAGAAGTCCTTTGTAGAAAGCCGATAGTAGTAACATCCGGAACATTGCTCATATTCTAAATATCGTATAGATTCCTCTCAAAAACATTGTTTATGTACTTTATAGTACTCGTAAGGAAAGAACCTGACATTTTGAATTGAAATGAATGGTAAATTCATGTTTTTCCTATCCTTTCCATTCAAGTCAGGTATTTCTTCTTATACGGAATCTGACATCAACAATTGACTTTCCGAGTCCTTTTGAAAAAAGGAAGCCACTCGTCTTTTACGTCACCGTGTACATACATCCCGGCGCTTGTCGATATTAATTTCATTAGCGTAATTAATGCAGACTTTCCGGTATCATCCGCGGTGCCATTTGGGTCGTATGCTATCCCGAGGACGTCGTAGGTGGCGCACGTGTGTACGTGTGTACACACGTGGTTCAAGGCCATTCGTCCACATGAATAATAATTTCGATACCGAACGCTCTGCACATCGTAAAACTAGCATCCGCGTAGCTATTTAAGGCTCTCGAATCGCGTACGTTTAGTCGTTCCACGTGCGCCTGAATAAACCCTGTCGGTCTTCTCGAAGACCCAGGAACTTAAACGGATGTCAATTTCCCTTTGCGAGATGTCTCGTACCCTCGGTGGCATTGAATCGCGAAACTGGCTTCATTGTCCTCCTGAGAATTTAATTTATTCCTCAAATTACCGGAGGCAAATACTCTCGAACGAGGCTGCGGTACGCTCCTACCATTTGCAGCTGGTAATTTCCGCCGGATTTTCTATACAAGGAGAATTCTACGGTTGTCATCGAGTATCGCGTTTGCCAACGACATCGCGATTCTGGGAGCGGCGGATGTTCCACGGACTGAAAGCCTAACTTAAACCGACGAATTTCGTCACTCCTTTTCAATGTTTAATCGCTAAATGAATCTCTGACGTATTAATCTTCCTATGCAAATATGGTTAATCCCCCGACATTCGCGGAAACTAAGAATTCTCGATACACCACGTCAGTGAATCAGCATTCCGAGTCCATATTTGGAATATATATCTGGATTAAGGTGAAGTGAAAACCCTTTTCAAATCAGTCGATTCGAATACAACACTTTTTTTTAAGGGTATTGGACCAAACTGTCCGAAACTTTGAAACATCACTCCTGTTCGTCTAAGAATTGTCCTGACACATTCAAAATTTGGATTTCTGGAAAAAATTGTTTAACTTAGCCCAGACCAGAACCAAAATGGTGTCGAGCTCTCATATTTCGATCAATATACAATTATCGAAGGCTCTGATATGAGAAACGAAAGGGTCAGGACAATTTTATGACAATTTAGAACACTCTGGTAATCGATAAACTCGCATTTGAACGGGATGAAGGCAAAAAAAGTGTTGTATGCGCTTCTATGCTAAAACGATCGGAATACGAGGTCTCGGAGTGAAAATTTAATTGACCTGGAAATCACAGATGGCGCAAGGTGTCCCTCTGCAGTTAATTAGCACTATTTCTACCACGATTTTGTGTATACCTATTTCGACCAAAAGGTTTTGATGAGCTGGAGGAAAATGATACCGCTAAATAAATTGAACAATTATTATACGAAAACTTAAAACATTAATTGAGAAATATTATTAAACCTTGAAAATAATTTCAAGTTAAAATTTTAAAAGGTGTCTTTTGACACCTTTGGTAGAAATAGTGTTAAGGCCCCAGAAAGCATGAATTCAGAGGATTTCTGGAGTTTTACTTCGATTTCTTGATATTTATTGTACGAAAACGACAAGTGGAGTATGCCATTTGGTACAATAGCCAATATAACTCGACACAGCTGTCAATATAAAAACAAACGTCGGCAACATAGGCATTTAGAAAAATTTTCTTTATCGACGTCGATCAAGTTCCTCGACGAGTTTCACTGCACCTTAATAAGTTCGTAAGTTTGGGATTTATATCGACGTTTGTACCAACTCATTGTGCCTTTCGTGAGCCACGGACACATTGAAATAGCATCGAAATAGGACTAATATAAACAATATTACATATATCTAGACCCTACCTTCACTGAAAGTAATGCGTTTAATACGCGTAATTTTTTGGTGAAATTCAGAGACCATCCGTAAGAGGAAATAAAATATACGTAAACGTAGAAAACCATGCGACCTTGATTAAATATCTTTATTCAAGCATCATCGAACGAATTGTGATCTTACACCGGGAGATAACGAAAAAAAAAATGTTAATAGCCATTTTATGACAATACAAAGGGCAGTTCACGAAATTGTAAACAAATACTGGACCGACGTGTCAAGGTCAGCATGATTTGATATAGATTGATTTGCATAAAATGCCTTGTGCTTAGCTGTCGTACTTGGCTAAATGGTGTATCGTAACTTCTAAGTTTTTTTTTTTTCTTTGAAATTTTCAAGTTCGAAAAGATACATGGTCATGGGTACATTGAATTTACGATTACGGCCCTACTCTCGCTCACGCTCTGTCTCCACTAATATCTCTGTCTGTGATGTCACGTCGAAACTGCATTGAGCCGAACAAAACCCGTAGTAAATTCGCACGCCAATCTCGACCCATGAAAGTTCGCACTTCGAGACGAGGTCTAATTTTTCGCTCCCCCCCGGGATAGCATTTCCGGCGAAAATATTCGCATTAAGGTACCATTTCACTTGCAGCTGCAACATTTATTACCATTTACCCAGTTGAAAATATCAATTTGAAATATGGTATACAGTAGTCCAAGTTTTTTCAAAATACAATGATTCGAAATTTAGTACGCAATGGCGATCGGAATATTAGTTTACAAGTGTACGAATTTAAAAAAAAAAACGTATACTAAAGGTCAAAATCTTTTTTGTACCAATTTTCGATCACATCTGTGAGAATTCATAGGTAATTGTGTATGACTGTCATGAGACATGCGTACGAAACCCGGATATCTTTGTGTACCGATTTTCGTTTACTTACGATATTGAGAAAAGCGCATTGTGGCATATAGATCAACATTTGTACCGATTTCATTTCTCATCTTGCCGTTTCATTAAAAGTTTTGAATATTTTCGCAGGAATCCTCACATAGAAATTGCGTTCTTCGGTTTTCATATCAAGTGTCGATGTTTCTGGTTCTAGTATACATTCGCATCGGAAAGTGTGTGAAATATCCAAACATTTCTAAAAAGAAAATGAGAAACCTCGATCTCCGGATAGTGGAACGTACATTTCACAAAATTACCGTCAAATGGAGTGGCAAGTGAAAATGACATTTTAAATGATGTACCCTATAATGTCGGCGCATGCTCGCATCGGTGTCAAGGAGTTTCGACTTCTCACTTGCGGTGGTGCAGCGAGTGAAAAGATACCCTTACAATCAGTTTTGTCAACTTACTTCGAAAATATCAACAGAATCGCGAGCCACCGATAGGGAAGGAGAAACGCGAAGACGGACGCGCCGCAAAAGTGTCGACGAAGAATCGCCAATTAAATCCTTCCCGGCGAGGGGCGGTTAGGGGTGACCAATTAGTAGAGGCGATATCTCATTATTTTCCAGCGATTCGTTATCTGCATTCGTTAGCTGGGAAGTCGTTTTTACTCGGCCGTGAAGCTATCTCTCGCCGCTTCGCCCCTCCGTTAACGAAGCAACGACGATAGTCGTGGCTTTGCGGCTCTTGGACTCTGCGTTGATCCGCTGACCCGTTCTTGACCCGAAGGTGTCACACTTCTGTAAACGACAAATCTTTTCTCAAAAGATCGCGGACTTTCGATGAAACCGTGATCTGGGTAATTGTCAGCGTCGAGCTGAGTTCGAGAAGCCGCGGACTACATAAAGACATATAAGAAAGTGGAGACGAAGAACAAAGTTTCGGTTAACCCTTTGAAGTCACTCAGCCGTGTATCGATTATTTTCCACTCTTGTTTGATCTTTCCGGCGAGACTTAACGTAGCACTTTATTAGTGTACCACTCCTTTGTGACCAAGGAATTTGTAAGTTCTAAATTTGTAATTTTAATTTGCAAAGAAATATATGGAGTCGTGATCGTCCCGTACTTAATCAGCGGCAACATGGACGCCATTAAGGCAAATAAGAAAAAGAGCGCTTCCGCTGGTCTCGTTTAGGACATTCAGAACACGTCAGAGCCGCAA